CTCGTGGAGAGGGCGAATTGGCAAGGATATTTACAAGAGGAGAAATGTGTCTCTTTGGGGTGCATAGTGGACGGAGAGACTTGCAGTGGTGTGCATTGAGATTGCCAACCAAAATACTTTAACAATTGTGACAGTATTTGCATAAATTTGAGGGAACTTCCCATATTGGGCACACTGCTGTCGTTAAAACCAGAGTGGAATCTGTGTAATAAGTTTCAGTCACTACCGAACGAGTCAAGTCGGGGGGGAGAGGAGACACAAAAGCTGCAGAGCTGAACTGGAAAAATCCATCAAATTTTCACCCCAAAACATAATTCTCATACATCACTGTGTGCAACATATTAAAGCAACACCCAAAAATGACCCAAAAGCCCTTCTTGCTTTGACCAATGATGGAGGCTGGACAGGTTTTAACGTTCATAAATCCTGGGACAATCCCAGGCATTTGGAGTTGGGTTTGTTCTGGCAGGCCGTTTCCATGAATGAAATGGGACTGGAGTAATCTAGAGCGATGCCATTGTTCCCTTAGCTTCCTGATACCTGATTGGCTTTTGTAATTCCTCAATTCCGTGGTGATGCTTTAGAATCCACAATTGTTTTCTGTTTGTGCATCTGGCTTGATTTCCTGTCTCTTGAGTTTGTGAACTGCATATTCTCTCTGGATACAGAATGTCAGTGTTTCAGTGGCTTGGGTTGAAAATATGATGGGCCTAAGCATTTGGACATAGTATGCTCATAGGTTCTCTCTTTTGCTCAATATCCCCATGGATCTGCCAGTTGCAAGAACTCAGAGGCCTGTTTGCTAGGCCGTACAACTGGACAGCTAATACAGAGCTTCTCATTATGCATGCTAAGAGCCTGTCCTTCCACCTCTAGGGATCTCTCAGAGTGGTAAGTCCTAAGAACGGCATGAGTGTCTTTTCCAAGCTTCAGCTCCAGCCTGCAGTTCAAGTCTCAGCTGGATTTTAAAAAAATAGAGAAAAGGGAGACCTTATGAGCACACTGTGCCGCTTTCTTTGTGTTTAAAGCAATCCTGCCATAATTACAGGGTAGCAAATTGGGCACTTGGTATTGCACAAAACACATAATACGAACACCACAGACCTACACCATAATCATAAACATATTTTCATGGAAGGAAGCGCTACTGATTTCAGACGAATTTCATTTCATGCTTTCCCTTTCAGCTCTTGGAGTGCTTTCTGGGCACTGCCCAATGCGCAGTGCCTTGAGAGAGGGTGGTCAATTTTTAACCTAATTCTTAGGTTAACTAAAAATCAATTTTTGGGTCCATCTGATTCATTGTCATGTTATCAGCAGCGGACAACGTGGAGACGCGACTTTCTGCTGCCTAGCAGCTGGTGAAGGAAGGGGCATGAGCCGGTTCCCTCCTGCAAATCCCTCTCTTTTCTCCCACACCCACACTTTTCTCTGAGCTGAATGTTTATACGGTTGGAACTCTGCTGGGGAGGAAGTTTATCAAGGGAAAGGGGCAGTCCAGGAAAAGGAAGCCTGTTTCCTTTCCCACTGTGTTTTCCCTTACGCCATTTTGCAATGGGGGTTTCAATAGACAAAGTGGACTTGCAGATGTGCTAGGGGATTGTGCAGCAGTCTTAAAAGTTCGGGGCATGTGTGATATTGGAAGATCTAAGCAAGCTGTATACTTTGTGTTGTTTCATGCCTGCTTTGTCATCTGACGCTGGAGTCAGGGTTCACCAGCATCATGCCATGGGCACGTGACAAAGATCTGAAGCGTTGGCTCTTTCATCCGTCCTTGCAGCCTTTCGTGTTTGTTGCCTATGCAATCTCTGTCCAATTATTTTCCACATCTAATAGAAACCCACAAGCCCTGCTTGCTTGTGGCTTTGGTCTTGACAGCCAACGGTTATGATCTTGGCATACTTCGGCTGTTAGTATGTCTGTTAATTTTCCATTTGTAACCTCAGGTTCTCAATTGGAGAATAATATGGCAGTTTAAGGTCAGTGTAACATCATCTCCCCCCACCCCCTCCCTGCAAATGCTCAAAATTCAGGTGTTAGCTTACAACATCTAAACAGCTTTGAACCGTGCACACCAGGGCTAATTCACTCTCTCTTGCTCTGACATGTGAGGGAGAGAGATTACAGAAAGTAATCTTCAAAGCAACAAAGAATTCAATAAAAATGTCTGTAGTATTCTCACTTGGGTGTCTTGAAAGCTTAATGGTAATTAAGAGACCTTAAGTGTACTAAATTAAAAAGAATAAAAGCCGCCTTATTAATCAACCTACATACATTCCAAAGTTTTTCTTGAAAAACTGTGCATCGAATAAAGATACAGAAAAGAGGGAGTGCGGAGATTATGTGGCAAACCGTTAAAATCACAGATTGCATTGGTGGTGATAGGTAACAAAGGCAAAAGGGTGAACGCCCGGCCCTGGGACTGTTTTGGTTGGGAGAATGCAAAACATTTCCAAGGCCTAATGCACCCCTGGAGCTTCCTCAAAAGCACGTTTCTGCCGATGCGTTCCTTGCATGCATGTGTATAACACGACGCACAGGCCCAGATAAGGGAAATGTGCAGTGAGACGTGTACAGGAAGGCAGGCAGAAGGGGGAGCCCTTCTGGACAGACCAGTGGGAAATCAGTCCAGCGTTCTGGGTTGAGGTGTGGCCAGCTAGAGGTGGGCCCTAGCTCGGTGGCATGCTGCGTATGCACAGTGTCCCCATTCAGTTCCAGGGAGGGCTGGGCAAGATGCCAGTTTCACAGTCCCTGAGAGCTGCGGCTCGCTCATCTGGGCAGTCCTGCGCTAACTGGAATAGTTACGTGGTTTGGCAGCCGTGTGGGCAGCTTCCTCTGTTCCCCGACTTCGCCAAAAAGCCTGCAGGCAGGTCCTGAAGGTGACAAGTTGCTTCCTGTTCTGGCTCCCCGACCAAGTGGTATTCATTGCCATTGTCCCTCTGAAAGCGAAGGTCCAGTATAGCTGTTATGCTTAATACATATCGACAGCATCCCCTGTGCATTTGTCGGTTTCCCTTTAAAGCCCACCTAGCCAGTGGCCAGGTGGCCATCTGTATGGCTTTGGCTTCCACAAACAGATGGTCCACCCACTGCCTGCACAGTGCTTCTCAGGCAACTCCCAGCCTGTTCCTTTAGTGCAGTTTCTCTCCCTTCTGCAAGCATTTTGCCGCAAAACTAATTGCAGGTTGAAAATCTAGCAGTGGGTAGGGGTGTCTCCCTTGCTTTTTGACCCCTGATTCTTCAAGCCTGAGACGATAACGCTCCATGCTGCAGTGGCTCCAGCATCAGACTGTGGACATCTTGGGATGCAGTTTTAATCCCAGCCCTGCTACGCAACCAACACCCTATATTGCCTCAGCAAAATAACATTGAAAGAAGCCACCATTCAACTCATTTAGGCCACAGCATAACATAACATGGAAACATGCTTTGGGTGTGCGTGTTTACTAGGTCCCTTTGTTCATATAAATTGTTTGTTCCTGCTTTCTCAGTGGTGCAGAGATGCTGCATGCGATCTGTTCTCTTGCTAAAGAGGCATTGCACATAGCAGCACAATTTTTATGGTTTGTTACCAGTATTCCCAGGATGTCTGCCATCTGTAGAATAGAGGGGAGGAAGCCAAATTTTCTCGCAGGCTCCCTGTTGCCATCACCATCAGTAAGTGGACTGGGAAGAGGGGCTTTGATCACATATCCTCAGTGTTTTCTAGGACCCAAGGGATTCTGAGACTAGCCCTTGAACAGTATTAAGGAATGCCACTACCTACAATTCATCACTGAGTGAATTTGCAGTGCTCTGCCAGTGTTGATAGTCACGTGGAGAACATGGCTTGAACTGGAAGCTTGGCGGAATGTTAAGTGGTGCTGGGCTGAGGCTGCTTTTCAACTTCATGACTATCATTTCTTGCTGTAATTAAACCTTTCTGGAGGTCAGGAGTGTGGCATAAGGCAAGTCTTTCTGAGCCAAACAGCACAAGCATGTTCACACACAGGTAAGTTGTGCTAGACATTGCAAAACGGAGGTGGGAGCCAGAGGTGACGTGGCAGCGTGAACTTGGCCACATCTGACTCTAGCTAGGGAATGGCAAAGCCCAGTGAAAGTACGTAGCTCAAGGTCTAAAGAGAGCTTCATCTCCAGGGTATTGCAAAAATTTTAAATAATTTTTAGAGAAAAGACTCACCCCTGTTTCTGTGCATTCGTCACCCTGACTTTGGACCTGTTCAGGCATTCTGTTTTGCAGAGAAGTCTCTACCTGGCGTGGCCTGGCACCCGTGCGCTCAGTCCTCCCTCTCTCTTTGCAAGGCGGAAGTCAGCCACGAACGGAGCCGCTGCCATGTTATTCAGCGGTGCAGTCCTTCTGGCTGCTGGGTTTTGAATAATCCCATGGTCTTTGGAAACAGATTGGGCGGGTGCTCGTTCAGATCGTGGCGGGAACAGATGCCTAAAACCAGGTAGCGGTGTGCAGGACGTGTTTTCCGACACAGCACAACTCACTTGGCTTCTCTTTGGTGGTGAGGGAAAGCAAGAGTCAAGCCCAGGACTTGCTGAACACGGCCAAAGTCCCTTTCCTTTCAAGCCTTATGAATATTTTTCTTTAAAATTTGACTCTGAATTGCAGTTAGTTTTGAGGAAGCAATACATACCTGCACGATTTAAAGTACCTCGCACTTACATTTGAGCACATGATGCAATTTGCATTCCTAAGGCAGTTCTTGCATGCTTGAATGAGTGCTTTTGATATTAATCTTGCTGACCACCTGCAGTTCCTATTGCTGTCAAAGAGCATGTGTGTAGAGCATAAGACTAAATCAGCCAGTCTCTGATCTCTAAGATGGAGTTCAGCTCTGAGCCTTCCAGTGTGGTTGCTTTTTTGGTCATGTCCTTCATAGGTTAAGGTGCATTCTGAGAAAACTGAACAGTGACTCTTTGGTACATGAGGGATCTGTAATGAGACCCACCCCCCTCTCATCTAATGCTAATTTTCTTGTTTGTGCTTTTAGGTAAAGATGATGAAATTCCAACAAAGATGGGAAAATTTCCACCTGAAAGTCAGCCTGCCATGCTTAACCTTACGCAGCTGGTCAATGGACAGAGTGCCACCGGTGGATCAAACACCACCCAGGGTAGCCAGAGGAAAGGACACAGAACATCTGCTGAAAGGGGTGAAGAAAGCACTCCAAGAATACCTGCAGAGAGAGATCAGGAAAGCTCACCAGGCCACCGAAGAAGGAAAAATTCTCTGGAAAAGAGGCCTTCTTTGAGGCAGCAAAAGCCTGTAACGGTAAATGTGCGAAGTGGATTACCGAAGCAAGACTCCGAGAGCCAGCGGAAAAGACCTGAAGTTCACACGGAGGATGACTCCAAGCAAAATCATAATGCAGCTGCTAACCAAAATTCCAATGCCACTTTAACTACAGGGAAGGAATTTGTACCCAGGTGGATTAAACCTTCAGATGCAAAAGTTATTGAAAAGACAACGAAACTTGCCATGGAGATCAAGAGTCGAGCTGCAAACCACGCCAACTCAGAAATGCCGCCTAGTTCTGGTGGTGAGGTACAGTCATTCAACATAAAGCAGCGGATGAGGGGTTTGGATGTTGATGAGGGTAAGCGAGGGTCAAATGCATCGCAGTATGACAATGTTCCGGGTGCTGACCTAGAGAATGAGAACTCTGTGGGTCAGGTGCTGGAGAGAGCAGTCCTGCAGAGTCCAAAAAACACTGCTTTCTTCAGCAATTCGAGGAAGCCAGCAGAGACAAGATACAGTCCTCCAAAAATATCCAACAGTTACGCCGTCAGCTCCCAGTCAAGAATCCCCAGATATTCCACCCAGTCTGATGAGTCAGATGTTGTCCATAATATCAAGCCACCACCCCCATCTTACAGTAATCCACCTGTTTACCATGGAAATTCTCCCAGGCACGTAACCAACATTGTTCATTCCAGTTTCGTAACCACACAGTATAATCACGGAAATCGAACCAACTCTCCTGGGCGACCATCGATCCCTGATCTTGCAGCGGAGACATTTGCTGATAAATCACATAGAAATTATTCGGCCAGCCACCAAAATCTTGTTGTGACACCTTCGAGTCGGATAGAGGTTCTCCCAACTGACGCTTACGTGAGCAGTCCTAGGTCTCCTCTAGGCGTGGGGTTTGTGATTCCTCCAGCAGATTATTTGCCAGACAGCAGAAAGTGGGCAGATTCGACTTACGTATACAGACAGGATGCTTATGGGAAATCCTGGAGTCAAGATGGTGGCCAGGGCCACTTGGGTAACTTGAAGAAATACCCACATTTTCAGTCAGCACCTGTTAAAGACCATAACCTCCCCACGGTCTCTGTGGATAGCCCGATAAGATACAGGACTTCTTCAACCTCAGGAGAACTTGGCCCACCACACTACCAGTATCCAGGTTCACCTGGCCTCACCCACCATTACAGACACCAAACAGGTGGCTTGTCCATGCATGAATCAGTATTGCTGTGAGAATGTCACGTGGTCACCTGAAAGGCCAGGATTGGAGTATGCCAGGTTTGCAAGCCTTTAGTTGGTAGCTATCCACGCTCAGTGTTCTTTGGACGGGGCGATTTAGATAAAGTGTAGACAAAATAACACTATCTCACATCTATGTTAAAGGTTGACAAAAGCTGAAACCGAGCATTGAATATAGCAGAAAAGACTGGATTTTCATAAACATAGCAATAGCTTTATATGTTAAATGTGACTACCATGAGAGTTGTTGGTTGCACTTCAGTAGCTTACCTGGGAACTGACCTTGTTGCTCAAAACATGTAAACCGCCCCCCTCAGTCAGCTGCTCTTGACTTGACACTACAATCCTTTGTGTGCTTAGTTGTGACAAGAGAATTTCAGAGTCCAAAAACGTCAGCGTTCATGTTCTTGGACTGCATCCACAAAGTACTTTTTATTTTATTTTTTATTTTATTTTTGATAACTTATTTTATAAATCATCCATTCATGTAGAATGGGTGTTTCTTGAGATTTGTGTGTACACTGCCTCACTAACCCAAGGATGAGAACGCCGGGTTAGCCGATGGAATCTTTATAGAGGGAAGCCATTGCCCATCACTCCGCCAGAAAAGAGAAGGGTTGGAATCCAAGGCAAAGATACTCTGATATAGCCAATAAACGGTGCTTCTAAAATCAGGACTGTCCGTGAATTGTAGCGTGTGTCTTGGATGTCAATGGTATTTGAGCCCATCATCCACGTTCACATATCCAGAGGCAGTTCTCCACTGTGTGTGATGTCATTCTTAAGTTCCATATGCGTGTTTCAGGACGCTGGGGGGAGGGATGCTATGTGTGTACTTTTAGCACCCATGAGTGCTAATATATCTGCCTGGTTATCAGAGATGCGGAAGGCCCATGTTCGGAGAACATGCGCGGCAGGATGGGTTTGCACTGATCCTCTCCACTCCTGTCTCGTGAGGGCTGGATTTCACATTTGCCTGGGGGCCTTGCCTGTGTCCAGCCCAACGTGCGTTGGTCCAAATAACACAGTCCGTACACGTCAAATGTTGTGGTTTGTGGACTGCATGGTTTCTGTCTCTTTGGGATGGTTGGGTGTCACATATATGTGTCCTGATGTTAATATGAAAGCCAGCGTGTGAGTTGGGGCACGGTATGCCTCAGATGCTCTTGTGCCTCAGATACATTTAGAACATCCACAGAGTGCTGTGCAACTGGTTAATCGAGTTGCTTTGGACCACACTGGATGCTCAGCAAGTCCCTCCTCCTCCTCCTCAAATATACAAAACCACGATACCAACAGCATGCAACAGAAAGATAAAAGAAAATGCTTTTTAAATGTAATTCCGTAGAGATGGCTCACTTCTGCATCCTTTTTAGCACTGACAAAAAGGTTTGATCCCTTGAAAAGCACTGGTTATTTTTGTCCGTGCTTTCATAATGAATCCCAAGAGATGAAGATACTTCTTTGCCCTTTGTTGTGTGCACCATTGGTGTTGCCTTTGTATCTTTACCGAGGCTGCCCTTCCTCAGCGTTGTTTTGAGGACACCATGGATGTGTTCTGTCGGGACAGATGCAACTTGTTCAAGTTGTATTAATTTAACCATGGGACAAGTGGCTGTTTTGGGGGAAACCTACCCAGTGACTTGTGATCCACCAAATCTAGGGCAGCGCATGAGCCAGATATTACGGCTTGCCATAAAGTAACTTCTTTTTCATGTCAAACCCTTCTCTTGATGTCCTAGCAAGCCCTGGATCACAGGAGACCCATCAAGTCCTCGGTGGGTTGAGATTGGCTTGACGACTCACAAGCTGTCCCCACCCGCCCCGTAATTAGCTTTGAGACCCAGTTCTTCTTTGCTCAGCTATGCCTGCTGTGAAGGCATATGTGAGGTTGTTCCAAAAGCTTTGATTCGGGTAGCACCAAATAGGGTGCGGCCAGATCCCAGCACCATTTTGTAGTGGTGTCAAAACTGTGTTAGAACTATTCCTCTTGACTCAATTTGTAATCCTCTGTAATCTGTCTTCTGCCTCCCCCTTTGTGCACTTCATTTTCTGTTCCCATAATTTGTTTGCCCATCTCTTTTTTTCTTGATAGCAATAGACTTTTAGGCCCTTGAGTGGGCTAGTGCTGCTGTGCCGCCGGGCCCTGAAATGAAGACTGGTAGGCTAATGCTGAAGGGCTTCCTCATTGTTAACAGGGAGCCAGCAAATTCATTTTAACAAGAGGCCCTGTAACCACTGCCTCACACCACAGATCTGATTGCAGATCTGCCCTGTCTGTCTGGCTCATCCTTTGAGACTGTTGGTCAGGGACCATGTCCAGTCATGTATCCGAGTTGGCCAAGCAGCCCTATCTGCAGGCAGGAGAATCAGTGGCCCCAAGCTGGTGGCATGCTTATCCCTAGCCCTACATCCACGCAAGTGGGATGGTCCCCAGAAAGACCCAAAGCTGATCCAGCGAACACAGAGCGGTGCCATTTCTGGTCCTTCCAGTCCCTCAGTTGCACAGCCAGGGCACTGGTTGGCCATTTTGTTTTCTGGTGGCCAAGTTCAGCCCAAGCTTTGAGCAGAGCTTCCTGGACTATATTCTGGTGTAGCTTGAACTAAAAATGTTGAACGACTGATTGACTGACTGACTGACTGACTGACTGACTGATCTGTTGGGTCTTTTACTCAAACTCAGAAGCTCCCAGGTTGTGAGTGAGGCTGGCGATTCTTCCCTAGGCTTTGTAATTACCCACGGGTTCTCAGGCTACCCCAGTGATGAAGACATACAAGGACAAAACATGTTTCTCCTCCCTGCTAGATCAAATTTGCACAATTTGTGACCCTTCAGGCTGAAGCAGGAGGCTGATGAAAGCCCCTCTAGGCCAGCACCCTCAGTGGCTGGGGGCCTTGGTTCGTCTTCGTGGGTCATCTGTTGCACACGCCTGCCCTACAAAACGCACTTGTGTAGCAGCCAGCTGTGCGGCAGCAGGTCGACGCTGATTGTTTTATGGTACCGAAGTCTTTTAAAAGGCAAGAAAAACTGAAGCAATGTTTAATGAATGTGAAAGACATTTTTTTTCAGTTTCTATGTAATTGAATATACATAATCTGGTGTATTTTTTTAATTCTTTGGCAAGTGGCATTAAAACCCGCTGCTGAATGCAGTGAAGTAAGAACCAAGCACTCATTGAGGAGAGGGTTATAAGCAATAAAAGCACTAGTGACCTTCCAGCTATTGTTGGGCTCCCAAGTCCCTTCCGCAGCACCCAGAATGCCCAGCAGCTTGGAATGATGGGAGTGGTAAACCAACAACAGCTGGAAGGCGAGTCCTTACCCCTGTTGCAAGCTGACAAAACAGAACGTCTTTTCCCCTTTGTTCTGACTTACCTACTGTTGCATAAACTTGTTTGTAAGAAAGTGGTTATGTAACAATCCCAAGGTTTAAATCATGGCTTTGTGATGCATAATAAATATAATAAAATGTAAGTTGTACAATTTACTGGATGCTAGCAGCAGAAAGCTGCTCTTAAAATATGTATTGAGACTAGTAAATACTGTAGATTTTTAAAATATATATATAAATATATATATACATGCTATTTTTCTTACATCATCTTCAACAGTTTTTAAACTATGTTTTCCTATTTTGTTGTGACCTGTATTTTTAACATGTTAAAAAAAATTCTTAAGCCTACGCTGTCTTGTGTACCTGATTGGCAAAGGAAGCATGAGTGCAAAATTGACCAGAAACCCTTGGGTTTTCCCAGATCAGACAGTGAATTGTCCAGCTAAAAACCTCTGACCCCAGATCAAATCATCTAGGTTATCGGTTCAAAGCAAGAGTTTGAATAATGTGCTTAGCTTTACAGGCTTCACCCAGAACGTTGCGGTGAGCACATAGGGTCCATTGCTTGGAATACACAAATTTCAAAACATGTTGGGTTTGTCTAGGTATCCATCGTGAAGGGGCTATTCTAGACACTTTGCAAGACACAAGTCTTCTGTTTTGTGGTTCACTCTAGAAGGCTGTGGGCTACTTTACAGATGTGTCTTTGCCACTTAAGCACAGCAGCACAAAGCATGGATGCATATATGGTCACAAACACCATGGATACAAAAAGGATGGCCGCCCCGTGGCATAACCTGGTCGAGGAGAAAGGAAAGATCCCACTGCTCCAAATGCCATGGCTCAAAACAGTCACCATTTTTCCAAATGTCCTTTGCCGCCAAGCTTCCTACTTCTGCACCCCACTCAAGTACACCAGGAGCTACACAAGGGGTTGCTCTCTATTGCACACCCCCATTTAGCATGGTCACGGCCCCTTCATCCCTCATCTTCAACTTCCCATCCTTACTTTGTCTTTCCCCAACTGTCCTCCAAGGAACTTAATGCCACAGAAAACTGAAATAGTGCCACAAATAATCCAGGTGTACGCATTTGGGCTGCGATCGAACCAGCATGTAAGATGCCATTTGCAAGTCCTCCTAATAGTATTAAAAGCCATCCAAAGGCCCGGAATAGGATGGCCCTAGCCTTCAGTGGCCCTTTTTGACCCAGGAACAAAGCACTCCTTGGGGCTGGGCAATTTGCATATCTCGATCTAGCTTCAAAAACCCTGCAAGCACCACTGGCAAGAATAGTCTGTCTTTGCCTAGCTGCCCTTTAGCTGGGGAGAAAGTAAAGTCAGAGATCTGTCTGCAGCCCCAGACAGACAGCCCTGGACAGGAAAAAGAGTCCTTTCCCACTGCTCAAATCCAGGGAGGAGAATCTCAAACCTGCACACCAAAACGACCTCAAGCTCCCAGGTAGCCATGAACCTACTCTCCGAATGGTTTGATGATTTCTCGGTTTGTGTGCAGGATTTTTCCATCCTGCCTCGTGTTCTCAAGGAAATTCTAGCTACTGACTGCGAGAACTCCAAGCTAAACACCTTTGATACTTTGGCTCCAGTGGAATCTGGCTCCTGAGAGTGTTGGATTTGGCAACCGAGGTGAAGGAGCATAGCCCAGATGCTACAGGGGCACACGTGGCCCATATAGAAGTGGCCCTCAGGCTTGGGCATAGTGAGTGGGATCACCCAAGTGGCCACTCGGGGAAAAGCTGTGCCCCGGGGAGCCACTGTTCCATGGGCCATACGGGCTAGATGGGCAAGGTTGAAGCTTCTTTATGCCTATGGGTCTTGCAACAGCAAAGCAGTTGAGAGGTTTCAGGTGAACATGACAGGTGGGGAGAGATGAGGTGGTCCATTTAGGTGCCAAATGTTGGTCATTCAGACTGGCTCAGCACTGCTGTCCCTTTTTAAGTGGGATTCCACAGGAAAATGTCATGTGGGGAGAGAACGGGCCTGAAATGGTGGAAGCTTTCAATTCAACTGTGTAGAAACGGAATTAAAGTTGTCCAAGGAAAAGCAGAAGTGGTCAGCAGGACCCACCAGAGCAGAAAGAGAGCTCTCACAGTGGGGAACCAGGAAGGAGCGAGAAATTCCACAACGGCCTGCACTTTCTTCGAGGAAATCCCGTTGTAACTGATGGGGAAATGGGTGGGCGTTGAAGGTATCTACATGAGGGTGGAACTCAACCCTCTGTCCTTAAGGAGTTGGAAGGAGGACAACCACCCTTAACAGCAAATTCCTGTCCAAGAGATTGATGTGAAAATGTCCAAACATGGACCTTAAGAATGGGAAATCTCCGATACTGGATGCAGCCCAGATGGGCTGGTTTGGTGAGGGTCACCCAGATGTTCTTGGAGAACCTCCACTGTCAGCCCTGCCCTCACCAGCATGAAAGAGACTTGTTCAGCACTTTTCCCAGAATGGTCTTACTTTGAACGTGACCTGCCCAGATCAATTCTTTGCTTCCCTCTTTTTCTTCCCTCTCCTATGCCTCTACATTATATCCCACGCTTGGAGTGACGGTGTGTTCTTCATTATAAGCCAAAAAATGACCCCCTCCCATTCCTTTCCTGCAATCTTGCATTCTCTTGTGTGTGTTTTGCTGAGAGAAATGCTCCTTTGTCGAAAGGATGCTTTTATGAACAGGGAGGATGATGGTTTAATAGAGCTTACCAATGTTATTCCCCCCCCCCTTTTTTTTTCCCAGCGTGCTGTCCTTTGCAAAGCAGGGTTTCAAAAGTCACAGTGTTCTCTCATTCCACACTGTCTTGGCATTTCTGCTGCTGGGGAGATCGTGGCAGCTCTGTCGTTCGCAAACAGACCGTCATTGTGTTGATACGGCTCCAGAAAGCAATAAATATTGGAACTGTCCTAGCAACAGCAGCCAAGCCAGAGAAAAGTAATTTCTTCTGTGGCTTCTTCATGCCTCCAATAATTACTTTCTGCAGAACTCACAAGCACAGTTGTCTATTTGAACCTTTCCTGCTAATTTGTATTTTACAATGAGAGCTTCCCATCTTGGAGAGAGAGCAAAGAAGGAAGAAGGAGTAAAGGAGCGAGGGAAATTGCAAATTCAGGAAGCAACTTATCCTGTTACATAACAGATGAATAAGCAGGGGCCTGCACAGGACAGCTCCAGGGTTTTGGAGTGCAAAAGCTCCCTTGGGCCCCTGCTAAGTACCTGCGGAGGCGTCACTGGGTATTCTAGTTTGCCTCTCTCTTAATTCCCCCCCATGGAAAGCACTGTCGGCTGTTTGAAGGGGTGGTGAGGCTCAGTTTGCGGTGTGGGCCGGACGTGAAAAGCTGCAGTGCTTCAGCCTCGTCCAGGAGAGAAAACAAGCCCCGTGGGAAGCGTCTTGCACTCATCCAGTGTGTCAAAGCCAAGGAAGCCGGCCGGCCCACGGCCGGCACTGCACTGTGGTTCAGAGGCTGAGCTGCAGATCAGGGCGTTGCTAGTTCGGCCCTCGCTTTTCCAGGAGCGACCGAGGTAGCCTTAGCCAAGGCGCTCACTCTGAGCCCCACGTGCATGCACAGCCAAGTCCGCATTATTATTATTATTATTATTATTATTATTATTATTATTAACATTTCTATGCCGCCCCTTGCCGAAACCTCGGGGCGGCTTACAACATGATAAAATACATTGAAATGCAATAGCACATAATAAATTACCATTAAATATAACAATACAAAAAATACATTGATTTACAAATACAAAATTAAAATTATCAGTATAAAATAAAAATATAGGAGGAGAAAGAGAAGG